CCCTCTCAAGGATGAATGTTTGTTTTCTTGGCAGTCCATGGTACATCCAATACTCTTCTCCAGCACCACAGCTCAAAGGCGTCAATTCTCCTTCTGTCCTCCCTAGTCATTGTCCAGCTCTCTGATGCGTAACAAGTGATTGCAAAGACCACGGCCTGTATCAGGTGCACCTTCGTCTCCAAAGAGACACCGTTGCTCTTGAGTACTTTAGAGAGGTCCCTAACACTAGACTTTCCCATCGCAATACGTTTCTTGATTTCCTGGCTGCTGGTGCCAAGTGTGTTGACTGTGGAGCCGAGCAAACTGAAGCTGTGAAATACTGCATGGTTCAAAAATCAAAAAATCAGGAGGACCTGAAGTATTTGCTGCAAGAAGGTCAAGGATTACAGTTTTCAATATGGATTGAAGCCCAACATCAAGAAGACAAAGATTCTCACCACTGGGCCAACCGGTGGTACCGTGAGAGATGGAGAAGATACAGAGGTTGTTACCAATTATAGCTTGCTCTGTTCCACAATCAACACTTGTGGCACCAGCAGCCAGGAAATCAAAATACGAACTGCATTGGGAAAATCTGCTGTTAGGGACCACTCTGGAGTGCTGAAGAGCAACAATGTCAGTCTAGAGACTAAGGTGTGCCTGATCCAGGCCATGGTCTTTGTAATTACTTGCTATCCATCACAGAGCTGGACAATGACTAAGGATGACTGAAGAAGAATCCCTGCCAAAAGAACAAACAGGTCTGTCTTGGAGAGGGTGAAAACAAGTTGATTCTTGGAGGCAAGGATTTTGAAGCTCTATCTCACATACTTTGGGCACGTGGCCAGGAGGGACCAGTCCTGTGGAGAAGGACATCATGCTTGGAAAGGGCCAGCGCAGGGGAGGAAGACCCTGGATGATACAGTAACTGGGGCAATAGGGACAGGAGTGTCAGAGACAGTAAGACTGGGTCAGGATAGGGCAGGGTTCAGAGCTGTTGTGCATCACATCTCTAGGAGTTGCAATCAACTCAACGGCACATAACAACTAACAATAACAATTAAGAAGGGTTGGAAAATTTAAAAAAAAAAAAGAAGGGTTGGAAGCACACGTCATTTGGACCTGGGGTCAGTGCACTGAGAACATCCTAGGTTCATGTGACATTGATTGATTCCAAGACATATGAACTCCAAA